TCAAAACTGCACAACTACATGGAAACAGAACAGCCTGCTCCTTAGTGACTACTGGATAAACAACAAAATGAAGGCATAAATATGTTCTTCAAAACCAATGAGAATGAAGAAGCAATGTACCCGAAACTCCAGGAAACTATTGTAAACAGTGCTTCAATGAACATATGTGTGCATGTGTCTTTATAAATAGAGAATGATTTATAATCCTTTGGGTATATACCCAGTAAGGGGATTGCTGGGTCAAATGATACTTCTAGTTCTAGATCCTTGAGGAATCACCACACTGTCTTTCACAATGGTTGAACTAATTTACACTCCCACCAACAGTGTAAAATTGTTCCTATTTCTCCACATCCTCTCCAGCATCTGTGGTCTTCAGATTTTTTAATGATTGGCATTCTAACTGGTGAGAGATGGTATCTCAATGTGGTTTTGATTTGCATTTCTCTAATAACCAGTGATAATAAGCATATGTTTATATGTTTGTTGGCTGCAGAAATGTCTTCTTTTGAAAAGTGTTTGTTCATATCTTTCACCAATTTTTTTATGGGGTTGTTTGCTTTTTTCTTGTATATTTTAGTTCTTTGTAGATTATGGATATTAGCCCTTTGTCAGATGAGTAGCTTGCAAAACATTTTTCCCATTCTGTTGGTTACTGATTCACTCTAATGATTGTTTCTTTTGCTGTGCAAAAGCTCTTAATTGATCCCATTTGTCTATTTGGGCTTTTGTTGCCATTGTTTCTGGTGTTTCAGTCATGAAGCCCTTGTCTATGCCTATGTCCTGAATGGTGTTGCCTAGGTTTTCTTCTATGGCTTTTATGGTGTTAGGTCTTATGTTTAAATCTTTAATCTATCTGGAGTTAATTTTTGTATAAGGTGTAAGGAAGGAATCCAGTTTCAGCTTTCTGCACATGGCTAGCCAGCTGTCCCAACACCATTTGTTAAACAGGGACTCCTTTCCCCATTGCTAGTTTTTGTCTGGTTTGTCAAAGATCAGATGGCTGTAGTTGTGTTGCATTACTTCTGAGGCCTCTGTTTTGTTTCATTGGTCTATATCTCTCTTTTGGTACCAGTACCATGCTGTTATAATTACTGTAGCCTTATAGTATAGTTTGAAGTCAGGTAGCATGATGCCTCCAGCTTTGCTCTTTTTGCTTATGATTGTCTTAGCTATATGGGCTCTTTTTTGGTTCAATATGAAGTTTAAGGTGTTTTTTTCCAGTTCTGTGAAGAAGGTCAATGGTAATTTGATGGGGATAGAATTGAATCTATAAATTACTTTGGGCAGTATGGTCATTTCCACAATATTCATTCTTCCTAACCATGAACATGGAATGTTTTTCCATCTGTTTGTGTCCTCTCTTATTTCCTTGAGCAGTGGTTTGTAGTTTTCCTTGAAGATGTCCTTCAGGTCCTTTGTTAGTTGTATTCCTAGGTATTTAATTCTCTTTATAGCAATTGTGAGTGGTTTGGTTTGCTCATGATTTGGCTCTCTGTTTGTCTGTTATTGGTATACAGGAATGCGTGTAATTTTTGCACATTGATTTTGTATCTGAGACTTTGCTGAAGTTGCTTATCATTTTAAGGAGATTCTGGGCCGAGACTATGGGGTCTTCTAAATATACAATCACGTTGTCTACAAATAGAGACAAAAAAGACTTGGAACCAACCCAAATGCCCATTAATGTTAGACTGGATATAGAAAATGTGGCACATAAACACCATGTAATACTTTTCAGCCATTAAAAAGGATGAGTTGATGTCCCTTGCAAGGACATGGATGTATGTGGAAACCATCATTCTCAGCAAACACAAGAACAGAAAACCAAACATTGCATGTTCTCACTCATAAGTGGGTGTTGAATAATGAGAACACATGGACACAGGGAGGGGAACATCACACACTGAGGTGTGTTTGGGGGTATGGGGACTAGGAGAGGGATAGCAGGGTGTGGGGAGGTTGGAGAGGGATAACATTAAGAGAAATACCTAACGTAGGTGATGGGGGGATGGAGGCAACAAACCACCATGGCATATGTATACCTACGTAACAGTCCTGCAAGATCTGCACATGTACCCGAGAACTTAAAGTAAAATAAAAAGAAAAAACAAAAGGCATTCACAGCAACCTGAATGTAATTGGAGACTATTATTCTAAGTGAAATAACTCAGGAATGGAAAGCCAAACATTGTATGTTCTCAATCATGTGGGAGCTAAGCTATGGGGACACAAAGGCATAAGAATGATATGTTGGACTTTGGGGACTTGGAGGAAATCGTAGGGAGTGGCAAGGGATAAAAGACTACACATTAGGTGCAGTGTACACTGCTCAGGTGATGGGTGCCCCAAAATCTCACCAGTCAACAGTAAAGAACTTATTCATGTAACAAAACACTACCTGTTCCCCCAAAACCTACTAAAATAAAAAAATAAAAACTTTTAAAAACTGCATCAACCAAAATATTTCTCTTTTGCCCAGGCTGCTAGGAGACTCTGGGACAAATCTAAATCTTCCCTTCAGTAACTCATTTAACCCAGGTACCTAACAATATCTATTTTCGCTTTTCCTTTAAAAGCTAAAAGACAGATCCACAGGCGAAAAAGTCCACACAGCAACACCTTATACCCTACATAAAAATTAACTTAAAATAGAATACACACATAAATACAAAACTATAATACTCCTAGGAGAAAATCTAGATGACCTTGGGTTTGGTGATGATGTTTTAGATGTAACACCAAAGGCACTATTCATAAAAGAAAAAACTGGACTACGTGAAACTTGTAAATTTCTGCTCTGCAAGAGAATGAAAAGGCAAGCCACAGGTGGGGGGAGAAAATATTTGCAAAAGAGACATAATAAAGGACTGTTATCCAAAATATGCAAAAATACAATAAAATAACACTGGATGGCAACTCAAATCCACAGGAATAAATGCGAATATATATATTTATTTGCATTTGTTAGTATAGTAAACACTATATGTACTTGCTTTTCTTTCTTAGCTTAATTAAAAGGCACAGTATTACATAAATAATTATAACAATGTATTTAATGTGTATAGTTGCAATACACATAATAGTAGCACAAAAATGTTGAAGAAGGAGTAATGCTATATGGGTGTAATATTTCTGTACCTCACTGGAATTTGATTACTATAAACTGAAGGAGAATCTAAAATTGGCTATTCAGAGCTACACAAATATGTCTACATCTTAAAAACCATTGAGCATTTTACATAGGCATATCACAGGGTATGTTTGTTGTTTTATAAAAATATCTCAGTGAATTCCAGGCAGAATCATATTTTAAAAGAATTAAAGCAATGAGAGGATACTGTGAGGGAGGAAACTTATGAATGTTACTAGATTGTAAATTATTTTAGCACATAGATTCTCTTCCTAAATGCTTAACCATATCTCCCCTAAAATGGTCTTCTTTTTGCCTCCCTGTTTATCTAAGAATCTTTGCATACTGACTTGAAATGAACCATTCCTTCTTATGTGTACTAGTTGGACTAATCATCAGAGAGGCTAAAATATTACTGCTCATATTCCCTATTTTTATATTTCTATAGATCTGTTTATGTTAACAAAATATAGCTGTGTACTTGTAGAAAATACGTTCTTATATGTCTTAATTCATTTTGGTAATGATGCCGCTACTGGCCCATACTTTGGTTTAGATTTCACTAGTAGTATATCTGGGCTTCAAAAGTTACCCTGTAATACTTAACATTTATTCAAGAGCTCAGCCATTTCTTCAGAGCAAAACTTCCACTCTGTGGTGTCTGGGTCATTATAGGTTTCCAACTTTAGTTACATAGTCTCCCATAAACAACTTTCTCTCACAAAGTATTAGGTCCTTTAGTTGACCCAAGTCACCCATCCTAATTGTCCCTTTTCAGTATTAACTCTCCTTTCATAACTTTTATATAATTTTCCTGTTGTATGACCTAGTCAGTAGTTTTCAAATCCAGCAAAAAATTCAAATCACATAAAAACTCCATTGTGAAGTCCTGCAATCTCAATGCTGATGTTACTACAAGTTTACCTGCTTCATCCTCCCCAGTTACAAAGTCTACAAACTTAAGAAGATATGAAAGTCACATTTTCACATTCCACAAAATATCTAATTATTTTTACATTATTGATACATACTTGATTTACAGTTACAAATCTTAGAAATTATACAGTCTTTTTGAACAAATCAAAGAACTTTGCCCCACAATCACTCTCTGTGACTATAGAGACCATGGTTTGCAAATTGACTTTTTTTAAAAAAATTATGTGTTTTATCTTACCAGGTATATCTCACAGTAGATAGGACTATTGGTGTAAAATTTAAAGTTCTATTACATCATAAACTTTCTAGGATAATTTTAGTTTGCATAAGAGATGTCATTATATGGTAAAGTCACTGGTTAAGGAATTATAACGCATCAGTTTCTGCTTGTCATTATCTTGATGTGGTCATGTTCAAATCATGAATCATCTTGAAACTTCAATATAATAGGCTTAAATGATTGCCAGTAGCCCTTCAAATTCTGCTTTGAGATGCAATATAATGTCTGATACTGCAATCAGACATTATATTGTGACTCTTCTATAATAAACTCATTACTAGTATTACACATGCACACACAACACACATACATGAAATATTTACTTTATAAAATATATTGAAATCTGCTTTATTTCTATAGCAACTAGTAAGGAACTCTTGGCAGAGCTATTGGAAGAGGGATAATAAAGAGGTCAATTAAAACACAATTTAAAAGTCACCCAGGTAAAAAAAAATTCAAGACTAATATTTATGGCTTATTTATATTCCTGGAGTTAAGCATGAAGCTTTAATGACAATAGGACCAATATGTTAGTATTACATAGGTAAAATTCTAAGTGAACATCCTCCTGTTATTAAACACACATACACACAATCAGAGATATGCTAATGTTTACCTTACAAAATATTAATATCTGTTTTATTTCTATAGAGCCTGATAAGGAACACTTGGCAGATACTATTGGAAGAGGTATAATAAAGGGTTCAATCAATGTACAACTAAGGGGTCACCAGGGGAAGAAAAAGAATTTTTCACATCTAATATTTATGGCTGATTTATATTCCGAGTTAAATTAAGTATAGACCTTTAATGACAAAAGTACGTATATTAAAGTGTTACATAGGTAAAATTATTCATGAATATCTTTCTATAATTAAACACACAAACACACAAGTATGGTAATGATATTGAAATCTGTTTCATTTTTATAGAGATTGATAAGAACTTTTTGTATGCTATTGGAAGAGATATAAGGAAGGAGTCAATGAAAGCACAATTAAAAAGTCACCCAGGTAATAAAAAACAATTTCAGGACTAACATTTATGGTTTATTTATATTCCTGGAGTTAAATTGCATGTACATATAATGGCAATAGTAACTATATGTTAGTATTACACAGGTAAAATTCTTCATGAATATCCTCCCATAATTACACACACACACACACACACACACACACACGAGGTATGCTAATGTTTACCTTATAAAATATATTTAAATCTGCTTTATTTCAATAGAGACCTATAAGGAATTCTTGGCAGATGCTATTGGAAGAGGTATAATAGTAGGGCCAATCATTACACAACTAAAGACTCACCCAGGTAAGAGAAAGAATTTTTCAAGTCTAATATTTAGACTTATTTATATTCCCTGAGTTAAATTAAGTATAGATCTTTAATGATAACAGAACCTATATCATACTGTTTTCCATAGCAATAATGCTATTGGAAGAGATATCATAAAGGGACCATCAATGCACAATTAAAGAGTCACCAAGGTAAGAAAAATAATTTTTGAGTCTAATATTTGTAACCTATTTATGTTCCCTGAGTTAAATTAAATATAGGCCTTTAATGACAACAGTTTCTACTTGTTGTTATTACATAGGTACCTATATCATGGTATTACATTGGTAAAATTCTTCATGAATATCTTTCTATAATTCGTTAAACACACACATATACACATGTATGGTAATGTTTACCTTATAAAGTATTTTGTAATCTGTTTAATTTCTATAGAGACTGATAAAGGACTCTTAAAAGATGCTATTGGAAGAGATATAATAAAGGGACCAATCAATACACAATTAAAGAGTTACCAGGGTAAGAAACAAATTTTTTTAGTCTAATATTTGTGACCTTTATTTGTTCCCTGAGTTAAATTAAGTATAGACCTTTAATGACAATAGTGCCTACATGTTAGTGTTACATAGGAAAAAATCACTAATATCCTTTAATTAAACTCTAATATTTACTATCAGTGGAACATTAGCAAGATAGTATTGGTTTTAAAACTCGTCCATTTGAAAAGTAATCCATAAAAATTTAGTGTTACAGTGGTCTTAGAGTAGTCTCAGTGTAGGCATTTCCAAAGCTATTCTACTTACTTTTTGTTTCTGGAAAGTTATGTTTAATTAGCAAAAGCAGAAAGGCTAGCCGAAGACTGTGATGACAAGCGAAGTGTAACAGATAATTATTTCACTGGTTATCCATTCCCTCTATTTGATGAAAATGTCAGGCAAATCTATAAAATCTCACCTGCAATACAGTACTTTATTTGCATTACATAATTCAGAGATTGTACTACTGGCTTGCATCTTGGTGTAAGGGTGTTACATACTTATATAATTGTCTTTGATCTCTGGTAGGATGATCTCTGGTAAGGCAGCTTAACAGATAAATAAGGTAAAGAGACACATTCAAAGATGGCCCTCTAAATCCAAGGTACTGGATACATGTTCAAGGCTCTGCCCCTTGGAGAGCAGCAGTAGCACTTCACACTACAGACAAGAGACTTTAGTACAATAGCCCAGTCACATGGCTATGCAAATAAATAAGGAGAGAACAGTGACAAGCCCCAGATAAAGGAGGAGGAAATCAGTATCTGGAGACGTTACAATATACTATGGAAACTGTCAAAACTTTAGTAAATATTATTAATGTGCAAAGGAACACTGAAGTGTGACCTACGCCAAGGAAAAGGGAATGCCACAGTAACTGTTTGTGAGTCTCAGCTATTAGATTTAGCCAACAAAACCTCAAAACACTTATTGTAAGTGTGTTCTTAGAATTAAAGGAAATTATTCTTAAGGAAGAAAAGGGAGATAATAGAAATATCAGCAAATAAGATAGAAATTTCAAAAGACAACACAGCAAAACCCTGACTCTACAAAAATACAAAAATTATCCAGGTGTGGTGGTGCATGCCTATAGTCTCAGCTACTTGGAGGGGCTGAGGCTGGAGGATCACTTGAGTCCAGGAGGTTGAAGCTGCAGTGAGCCATGTTCTCACCACTGCACTCCAGCCTGAGTGACAGAACGAGACCCTGTCTCTAAAAACAAAGAAAAAAAAAAGAAATTAATTTCAAAAGAAAAAAGAACTAAAATACATATCTAACATAAGTGGTTACCTCACAAAGTGTTTTGAAATCTGTTTTATGTCTATAGAGACTGATATAGAACCCTTGACAAATGCTATTGGTTCAAGTAAAACAATTGGTGAGACAAAGACACAACCAAGTACTCACTATGGTAAGAATAATAATTTTAAGTCTAATATTTATAGTTTAGTGATCTTCTCTGGGGCTTAAGTATGAATCTTTAATGACAACAGTGCCTACATGTTAATATTTCATGGGCAAATGTCTTCATGAATTTTCTCTTGTAATTAAGTTAAACTCTTGTATTATCAATGGGAAATTAGCTAGAGAGTTTTAAAACCTCTAGACAATGATTTTAAAAGTATGACATTTATAATTCTCTATTTCAATAAATGTTTTCTATAATAATTCATGTTACTTTACAACAATAGGATTTATGAAAAATAAATTGAATAAACATTGGTTGAATTGGGGTGAGGGGATCCAGTGGCTTATGTGTAGACCTCCAATCTCCAAAACTATTATCCTAAATGTTTCCTTTTAAATATAGACTACAGATCAATTATAGAAATGAACATTTTGTCACAGTAAAATGAAGTTGGGATAAACATTGAAATTAAGGAAGATACTATCACAGAATGAAGAACAAAGACAATGATGAGAGACTGCACAGAAATTTAAGTAATAGACAAGTCGCCATTTAATAAAATGTGGGAAGAAAAATTACCAATGCAGAAATAAAGAGAAATACATGGAGTTGGGGACTAGTGTGTAAATAGTCAAGAGTATTCATGCACTGTTCCTTTTAAATTTTTATTTTAGATGTGAATGTATTTAAACATAAAGATATGTCCATACAACACCAAGAAGGTATCTTTACTAGGAGAATTACACCAAGTAAATTCCCAATAAAAGTGATCAATTTATCACCCTTTGAAAATAAAGGTAAAGAATTATGTATGAAGATATGAATTCAGTTTCTAATTACCTACAATAGTTTTAAAGTATGCTTTTTTATTTACTCTTATTGCATCTTACTTCTTTTATTCAGAAATACCTTAGGAAAATTCTTACAAGCCTAAAAATAAAATGGTTTTAATTTATTCTTTTTATTGGCAGCATGATACTTCATAAGAATACTTTATTCATTCTATTAAAGAGCACTGATTTTTTTAGGATTGAGATTTCTTATTGAAGTACACATGAATTTTTAATGTTAAATGATATTTCCAGACTGCTTTCCTAAAGGACTATTAAAATTAACATTTTCATCAGCAATCTTTAGGGGAAATGCTTTTCTCTGCATAACTATCTGCAATATGGGTTGCTGGGTTTTTTTGTGCTTTCATTTATACTCATCTGAAAGTTACTAAATTATATCTGACTCTTATTTTAATTTTTATTTCCGCATTTGTTAGTGTTTTGCTACTCCAAATCTACCCTAAAACTTTAAGTTTTAAAGCATAAAACAGTAACCACTTAGATAACTGATGATCCTCTTGGCTGGGCAAACTTACACATTTTTGGTCAAATTATCAATTTGCCCACATGTATAGAAATTAGCTGGCTGTTGTTTGAGGCAATACTATTCAGAGTGGGCCTATTCAGTAAAGAGAAATTTCACTGGTTGTTCAAAAAGAAAGCAAGAATGCAAAAAGTAGATGACTAAGTATAAAGTTGTTAACTTGGTAACTGAAAGTATAAAAAGAATTCTAAGGTTACATGGAGGAAGCAATTACAGAAAAAAGTTGCCATACCCAGAACTGAAGGAGAACTCTGCATAGAGTATGGATTGAATAGTGCTAGAGTCCCTGTTTCTTCAGGCAGGACCTTGGATTGATACTTCTGAAGTGGGGGCACTGGCCAGCTACTGCTAGTTTCTAAGCAGGGAGGAATAATAAAACTGGCTCTGCAGATGTTGGGGAAAAAATGCAAACTGTTTGTTGCCATAGGAGGAATTGCTACTTCTGGGATAAGGAAACAATACTGGGATGTTCTTCACAGAAACTGAAAAGAGGCAGGAACCTCTCAAAGCCCACCGAACAAAATGAGAAAAACAAATCTGTCTTTTTTTTCTTTAAATTTACAGTCTTCCTCTGTTTAACACCCCCTATTTCATGGCTTAACATGGAGCTACTTTGCAAAGCAAAAATGTGATTTGTAGAATCCCAGATCCAGTAACATAAATCAGAGTGTAGAAGGGTGGTTTGGGGGCTATACTTGGCCCAGGAGGTAACTTGCTTGCATGTTTCTCATCATCCAGCCAACTAGCTAGGAGTCTTCAAGTTCTAAGAGCAGCATTCCAACAAGCCTCAATGCATAAGTAGTTTTGCAGTCTCTGCTCACATTCATTTACTTTTGTCGTGTTCACCAATAACTAAGACCAGAGTTAGTATGGAAGAACATCGATATAAATAGACAAGAACACAGAGACCATCACTGAAATCAGTCCACCACAGTGTTCCTAATGATTGGGAATATTCATGGCTCTCCCACATGCAAAATAGAATCAGCTCTTCCCAGGACTCCACAAATTCTTATCTAATTTTGGCATCAGTGCCAAAGACCATTATATTGTGATATATAATCATTTTCAGAGGCAGCTTCTATGATATGGCTTCTTTTGATACAGAGTTTTTTTAACTGTTACTTGTCTCTCACGACACACACACACACACACACACACACACACATAATGTAACAGTGGTGAGACATGGACAGACCACAGAAGACACTCCCATTAACAAAAAGGGGGAAGTCAGGAAGGCAATTATGGCAGTCAATAATCCATACAATAAGGTCACCTATTTCACCATTCAATAGCATTGTAATATTCTCAGTAAAAAACACATGAAAAAATAAATGAACCAGGATGTTGGAGGAATGGAATGCAGACTGGGACAAATGACTGATCATTTCTAGTCTGTTTTATTTCTTTCTGCTCTGATTTTTATTTTCTTTCTTCTGGTAGCTTTATGCTTAATTCTGCTTTTACTACTACTTTAAGGTGTAATTTTAGGTTGTTTATTTGATTCTTCTTTTATGGTGTAGACATTTAATGTTATAAACTTTCCTCTTAGGATTACTTTTGCTGCATCCCAAAAGTTTTTGTACGTTATGTTTTAATTTCTTTTGTCTGTAGATATATTTTAATTTCCTTTTCGATGCAATAGTTCTTCAGGAGCATATTGTTTAATGTTTCAAATATCTATTTAGTTTCTTTTTTTTTTTTTGAGATGGAGTTTCGCTCTTGTTACCCAGGCTGGAGTGCAATGGCGCGATCTCGGCTCACCGCAACCTCCACCTCCTGGGTTCAGGCAATTCTCCTGCCTCAGCCTCCTGAGTAGCTGGGATTACAGGCATGCACCACCATGCCCAGCTAATTTTTTGTATTTTTGGTAGAGATGGGGTTTCACCATGTTGACCAGGATGGTCTCGATCTCTTGACCTTGTGATCCACCCGCCTTGGCCTCCCAAAGTGCTAGGATTGCAGGCTTGAGCCACCGCGCCTGGCCTCTATTAAGTTTCTTTATATTCTCCTACTAATATCTAATTTTATACCACTGTTGTCAGGAAAGATATTTGATTTAATTTCGATGTTATATTGTTAAGACTTCTTTTGTGGCCTAATGTATGATCTATTCTGGAGAATGTTCTATATGTACTTGAGAAGAATGTGTATGCTCTTACTATTTGCTAGAACATTGTGTAATTGTCTGATAAATATGCTTTATCTTATGTGTAATTTAAGTCAGTGTTTATTTATTTTCCATCTAGATGACCTATTCAACAGTAGGGAATATTGAAATCCCCTGCTATTATTTTGCTGCAGTCTATGTATCCTTTCAGGTTTTTTAATGTTTGCTTTATATATATAGATGCTTTGAGTTGTATGCATATATACTGTGTGAGTATTAAAAATGATTAGAGATATCATCTATTGTATAGCTAACATGTTTTCTAAATCTTTCTAGAGAAAACTTATGAGTACACTTCACCCTATGCAACTGCACCTTCACCCTATGTGACTGCACCTTCAAAAGCAATTTATAGAATGTATAAGGCTGGTTCAAGCTTATCTAAAAACAGTAAATTTCCTTTACTGAATCAACTCCCTTCAGGTAATTTTTAATATGTTTAGTATACAATGTGATTTTTAAAATAAAGCTACAACTAAATGTAAATAACCAAGCTGTAATAGCTTAGTCATATAACAGTTTAGCAAAGCATTAATGAAAGTAAACTGTGAGTTAAGTTTATCTAACATATGATTATTCTTAGCAGATAAGTAGCGTCGCTGGCATGTTTCTTCCTCCATTGTGACAAAATTGGAACTCCATTTCTTTTCTCCACCTTCTTGTCTTGTTCACTACTATAGATTTTGTGGATGACTGAGATAAACTTATTTTATAATCTCTTTCTTATATGTATATGTCCCTCTTTTATTTAATCCCAGGGAGAGCATACAATAGAAAGATAACATAAGGATAGGTGAGAAGAAAAGTATATCATAGGTTTTGTTTTTCCCTTCCTTTCATCACCATATACCTAGGCTTCTAACTCCATTAATATCTAAGAACTAAGATTCAATTCTTATCTGTCGCTCCAGAGGCATCATTAAATATTTTCTACAGTTAATTGAGTTTGACACTTTTTTTTTCATAGACATGGAGTGTTGCTCTGTTGCCCAGGCTGGAGTGCAGTGGCACGATCTTGGCTCACTGCAACTTCTGCCTCCCAGGTTCAAGCAATTCTCCTGCCTCAGCTTCCCGAGAGTTTGAACTTTTTTAAAAATTTAGATGATTTTTCTTTGATTTATTCTGTGTGCTAAATAAATGTCCATGGCACTTTCTATCCATATAGGTTCTAAGTAAAATATCAAAGGGAAATGCAGAAAGATGACTATACTTTAGTTTTTTACTATATACAATATAAAAGGAAAAAGAAAACAATGAAAAGATATTTGGACTTGCTGCTGGGAAAGCAAGTGAATGTAAGCAAAGAAAGTGAAATCCATCTTCTTTCCCAGTGAGATAGAAGAAAAAAATGGTCAGAAATTATATATAACAAAAGAGGAACATTTAAAATAATAAGCAAAATCCTGGGCTTCAGTGGATACAAAATAAAGTTGACAAGATATGATAGGACCGAAAAGGGAAGTTTATTGGTTGACACTTTTAGCTTTTTTTTTTTGAGACAGAGTCTCCAGGCTGGAGTGCAGTGGTGCAATCTTGGCTCACTGCAACCTCCACCTCCTGGGTTCAAGCTATTCTCCTCTGTCAGCCTCCTGGGTAGCTGCATCTACAGGCATGCACCACCATACCCATCTAATTTTTGTAATTTTAGTAGAGACGGGGTTTCACCATGTTGTCCAGGATGGTCTTGATCTCTTGACCACGTGATCTGCCCAACTCAGCTTCCCAAAGTGCTGGGATTACAGGCATGAGCCACCGCCAGCTTCTCAAGCTGGGTCAGTCATCTTTCATTATCTTTTAGGTAAATGTAATTGATTTGGGGTTCACCTGTTACTTCATATCACCTTCAATACTACTTTTCATTAATGTAGTTCTGGTTTTTCCTATAATTTGAGTTTTCTTTTATAAGCCAAATTCTTTTATTTGATGAATATATTAATTACAAGCCCTAAAGAAAACAAAGAGGAGGAGAATAAAATTAATAAATTGTCTGAATAATCTATTATCTATATTTATACCTTATGATTAGAGATCAATAATAATGGTCTTCTGTTGTGGATTGAATGAAAATTATAATAGCATAATTTTTTAAAAAATTTCATGAAAGCATTCAGCCTTTGAATCTAAACATAATGGCAGATAAACATTTTTCAAGCAAACACTTGCCTTAAGGAATGGAAGTATTGAATGGTTTCATTTCTGTGCAAAAAATATACTGAAGAAAGTCAACATATTAATGTAAATTTCACTCACTGATTTTGAGAAGCTACCATCCAAATGTTTCACATTCTGCTTTTAATCTTAGCATTCTACCTCCAAATAAGCAGATGTTGAAACTAGTTTTAATTACATAGTTTTGTTTTTAGCAGTGCCCAAAATACATCTTTACAATTGTATTTCTAGTATCTCCTCCTTAATCATAGCACTAGATTTCTCACTGTGGGATATAAACTTTTTAAATTAAATGATAAAATGTTTTTATATAGAGATAAAAACTTATCTAAAAGTTTGCATTTTAATTATTCACATTTTTTGCTGTCCTGCAAAAAGACTCATTCTCTGACATCTTTATTTATGAAATTTCTAGTCTTTATTTTTTTTTAATATTTTTTACTTTTAGATCCAGGGGTTACATGTGCAGGTTTGTTACATGGGAATATTGCATGAGGATATGACTGGTCCCATCACCAGTCAGTGAGCACAGTGCCCAATAGGCAGTTTTTCAGCCCATGATTCCTTCCTTATCCTCACTAGGGATCTCCAGTGTTTATTGTTCCCGTATTTATGTCCATGCTTTCCCAAGGCTTAGCTCCTTCTTGTAAGTGACAATATGCTACCACATTTGGCTTTCTGAACCTGTGTTAATTTGCTTTAGTCTTTCATTTTTCTTGATTTGTACTCTTATAATGCACTCTTTTAAATATCAAATACCAGGCAAGAAAAAAATCAGAGAGAGAATATTTGTGTTAGGTAAGCTACTTCATCTATATTACTGAAAAAAAGCGGTAAGGAAACTGTGTTTTAGAAGACTAAGATTTATTTTGATATTTTAAAAGTTGAAATTACTTAATTTACCACATAATTTAATAACACTGTTCTCATTTTTTTTAGGGCATTCGAAAGTTGTTACCTTAAACCAAAAAACTATTGACTTTACAAATACTCTGCCTGCTGTGACCACAATTATAAAACCTACCTATAAAGGTAAAAGAATCACTATAATATAGATATATAAAATTAAATCTTATACTATATTCTCATTGTCTCTGTTTGCCAACCTCAAACCCTCTGGGCTTCCTCCTCCAAACAACTAATCTTATGAGTGAGGCACAGTTTCCCAAACCTTTCTTCAAACATGTAAAAATATGTTTATAAACACAGTGGTTTGTGGTTCTGAATAATAAGAGGATTATATGATTATCCTCCTCACTTTTGACCCAGGTAAATTGACAGAAATTTCTTTAATTTGTCACATTTTTAAGTTGCTGCATGATATTCTAAAATGTGGATGTGTCATAATTTATGATTCCTCTATTGAATAACATTTGATCATTGTTTTCTGCTACTACAAGCAATGGTGCAATAAATACCATTGTTCATATATATTTATATCACAGTGATTGCATTTCTATAAAAAAGAACATGTAAGTGAGGCTGGTGCATTAAAGGTATATATCCTTTTAATTTGAAGAGATATTAGCAAACTTTTCAAATTACTATAGCTAGTAGTTCTGCTAGTAAATGCATGAAATGCCAATTTCCAAGCATCTAAGCCAGAACTAGACTTTTCATGCGTTGGAAATACTAAATATATTAAATAATATTGTTAAGATGTCATTATCACTCAGTTATCTAAAGATTCAGTGCAATCTCTATCAAAATCCCAAATACTTTTTTTTTTTACAGAAAAATAAAAGTATATATTTTTTAATTCATAAGGCAGCAGTTCCCAACCTTTTTGGCAGCAGGGACCAGTTTCTTGGAAGACAATTTTTCCACGGAGTGGCAGTTGGGGAGTGGTTTTAGGATAATTCAAGTGCATTACATTTATTGTGCACTTTATTTCTATTATTATTACATTGTAACATATAATAAAACAATTATACAATTCACCATAATGTAGAATCAGTGGGCGCCCTGAGCTTGTTTTCCTGCAACTAGGTGGTCCTGTCTGGGAGTGATGAGTGACAGTGACAGATTAATGGGCATTAGATTCTCATAAGAAGCATGCAACCTAGATTGCATGCACATGCAGTTCACAATAGGGTTTGCACTCCTATGAGAATCTAATGCTGCTGCTGATGTAACAGAGGGTGTATATTGGATAGTAATGCCAGCAATAAGGAACAGCTATAAATACAGATGAAGCTTCTCTTGCTCACCTGCTCACATCCTGCTATGCAGCCCAGTTTCTAACTTGCCATAGATCAGGGCCTGGAGACCCCTGTCCCTATAAGGTATGCTGATAGTCAAAATAACCTTGATAAAAAACAGAACTGGAATACTTACACTTCATAATTTCAAAACTTACTGCAAAGCTACAATAACCAAAAGAGTATGGTACTGGCCTAAAGACAAACACACAGTTTGATGGAATAGGATAGAGAGCTAAGAAATAAACCCTCACATTTATGGGCAAATAATTTTTGACAAGAGCATGAAGACCAAGCAGTAGGGAAAAAATAGTCTTTACAACATATGGCACTGAAAAATCTAGATATCCGCATGCAAAATAATTGTTGTGTTGTGCCCTTATATTACACACACAAAAATTAAAATAGGCCCCAAACCTAAAACTAAGAGCTACACTTTAAAACCCTTAGAAGAAAACATAGAAGAAAGCCTTATATTGGATTTGGCAATGACTTCTTGGATGATACCAAACACACTGTCCAAAAAAATAGACATCTTAGACTTTATCAGAATTTAAAACTTTCAGTCATCAATGGAAAATATGAAGTGAAAAAGGCAAACCACAGAATGGGAGAAACCACATATCTGATAAGGTATTAATAATCCAGAATATATAGAGACCTCCTACATGTCAACTACAACAACAAAACTCAATTTTAAAATGGGGACAGGCCAGCCTTCTACAGAAACACAGTGTTGGCTGATCTGATCACTCTACCCTCTGGACTGAACACCCACAGCACCTTGCTGCCCTAGATCAGAATAGCCCTCTAAAGCCTGAGTTGCTGAGGTGTCCCACCTCCCTAGGAGTGAAGCCAGCATTGCACTGCTCCACACCTCCCATGGCCAAAGCCACAGATGTGCCCCCATCATCCTTGGACCCTTGCTACCACTGCATCTAACTTCACAGAGCCTGAGCCACTGCTGTGTCCCATTACTTCAGGGCTAAGAGTCACTACCTCTTCCTTGGTGCATGAGTTGCCACTGTGCCCTATTGGTTTTATAATTGCAACTGTACCTTGCTCATTGGGGCCTGATCCTTTGGAAACCCTCTTCCTTCCCAGAGCCATGCCATTGCTACACACTTAGGTGTGTAGCACCAGGATGAGTCACAGCAACATGCCTATCCCTGGGCCTGAGATACTGGGAAGTGCCCTAGAGTCACAATACTTGGCCTTATGGGACAGCAGCATCACCCATGCCTAAGAGAATAAACCTGAACCTACACCACAGGTGCCATGGCAGCTCAACAAGACACTGAGCCCCAGACTCCAGCTTCACAGGCACTCTGAGGACCTGTTCCCTGTAACACAGCACTGCTGTGGCTGCCTCTGGCCTGTGTCAGTCTCAACACCAAAAAAGGTGCCTTCAGGTAAATCTTCCACTATGGGGAAAACTAGAATAGAAGGATATTTAAAGTCCTTTACACTAAGAAATGGACTCCACTACTGTATCTATTTAGAACCAGAACCACTGCACCTTGCCCAACTGATACCTGCAGACAATATCTGCAGGTGACAATCTCCCCACAGAAGCCACTATAAAAAAAAAATTAGAATTGCTGGCAAGATGGCCAAACAGGAACAGCTCCAGTGTGCAGCTACCAGTGAGACTGATGCAGAGGGCAGGTGATCTTTGCATTTCCAATTGAGGTAGCTGCTTCATCTCATTGGGACTGGTTGAATAGTGGGTGCTGCCCAAGGAAGGTGAGCTGAAGCAGGGTGGGGCATCACCTCACCTGGAAAGCACAAGGGGCCGGGGAACTCCCTCCCCTAGCCAAGCAAAGCCATTAGGGACTGCATCCTGCACTCCAGCTCAGATAGTCTGCTTTTCCCATGCTTTTTACAACCTGCAGACCAGAAGATTCCCTCCAGTGTCAACAACACCAGGGCCTTGGGTTTCCCACTCAAAACTGGGCAGCCATTTGGGAAAACACTGAGCTAGCTACAGCAGTTTTTTTTTTTCATAGCCCAGTGGCACCTGGAACACCAAGAAAGAACTCTTCACTCCCCTGGAAAGGGAGGTGAAGTCAAGGAGTCAAGTGATCTGGCTTGGCAGGTCCCACCCCCATGAAGACCAGCAAGCTAAGATCTGCTGGCTTGAAATTCTTGCAGCCAGCACAGCAGCCTGAGCTTGACCTACACTGTTTGAGCTCGGTCGTGGGAGGGGTGTCCACCCTTGCTGAGGCTTGTGTAAGTGGTTTTGACATCACAGTGTAAACAAAGCCACTGGAAATATTGAACTGAGCAGAGCCCATGGCAGCTCAGCAAGGCCTCTGTAGGGAAGACTTATCACTAGATTCCCACCTTGCTGGACAAGGCATCTCTGAAAAAAAGGCAGCAGCCCCTCAAGGACTTATAAATAAAGACCCCACCTTCCTAGGAAAGAGCACCTGGGAAAAGGGGTGGTTGTGGGTACAGCTTCAGCAGACTTAAATGTCGCTGCCTGGCACCTCTGAAGAGAGCAGCAGATCTCCCAGCACAATGTTCAAGTTCTGACAGACAGATTACCTCTTCAAGTGGCTCGCTGACCTCCATGTATCCTGACTGGGAGACACATCCCAGTAGGGGCTGACTTTAAACCAACTTTAAAACCAAACAGACTTTAAACTGACAAAGATCAAAAGAGACCTCATATAGGAGAGCTCTGGCTGGCATCTGGTAGGTAACCTTATGGGAGGAAGCTACAAGAGGGAGGAACAGGCAGCAATCTTTGCTGTTCTGCAGGCCGTGCTGGTAATTCCCAGACAAGCAGGGTCAGGAGTGGACCTCCAGCAAACTCCAGCAAACCTGCAGCAAAGGGGCCTGACTGTTAGAAGAAAAACTAATGGAAAGAAATATATTCAACATCCACAAAAAGGTAGATAAATCCATGAAGATGGGAAGAAACCAGTGCAAAAAGGATAAAATCATCAAAGTCCAGAATGCCTCTCCTCGCCAGAGAGATCACAACTCCTCACCAGCAAGGGAACAAAACAGGATGGAGAATAAATTTGATGAACTGACAGAAGCAGGCTTCAGAAGGTGGGTAATAACAAACTTCTCTGAGCTAAAAGATCATGTTCTAACCCAATGCAAAGAAACTAAGAACCTTGAAAAAAGGTTGGATGAAATGCTAAATAGAATAAGTAGCCTAGAGAAGAATATAAATGACTTGATAAAGCTGAAAAACATAGCACAAGATCTTTGCAAAGTTTCAATTGCCAAATTGATCGAGCAGAAGAAAGGATATCAGAGATTGAAGATCAACTCAATCAAATAAAAAGAGAAGGCAAGAAAAGAGAAAAAAGAGTGAAAAGAAATTAACAAAGCCTACAAGAAAGATGGGATTATTTGAAAATAGCTAATCTATGCTTGATCAGTGTACCTGAAGAGAACTGGGAGAATGAATCCAAGCTGGAAAACACTCTTCAGGATACTATCCAGAACTTCCCCAACCTAGCAAGGCAGGCCAATATTCAAGTCCAGGAAATACAGAGAATATCACAAAGATATTCCTTAAGAAGAGCAACCCCAAGGCACATACTCATCAGATTCACCAGGGTTGAAATGAAATAAAAAATACTAAGGACAGTCAGAGAGAAAGGCCAGGTTACCCACAAAGGAAAGCCCATGAGACTCACAGCAGATCTCTTGGCAGAAACCCTACAAGCCAGAAGAGAGTGGGGCCAATATTCAACATCCTTAACGAAAAGAACATTCAACCCAGAATTTTATATCCAGCCAAACTAAGCTTTATAAGTGAAGGAGTAATAATATCCTTATGGACAAGCAATTACTGAGAGATTTCAT